CGCACAACTCAAAGACAACGCACCATCAGAGTATTGGGAGCTCGGGGTAAGCATTTACATTGAGACCTCCTTTGCCAGTAACAAGATATAGTAATAGATTTTTACCCTTTTATCTGGCAACAAAAACTGACCCCTTTTTACAAGGGATCATGTTTGCATTAACCACAACACTTCTGTTTACCTTTTTTAAAAGAGGCATATGAATAGTTACTTAAAAGTTATTGAGTACAAGTCAACCCCTTGCATAATCAAAGAGTATAAAACAACGTGATTTATATTAATAGTAAAATTATAACACGTTGATGGCATGTTGCATTGTGGGAAAGGTAGGCTTGTGTGAGAACAAGGCCCTATCCACCCAGCAGAGCATCCCTGGGCCCAATCACCACCACCTCAATCAAAGGAACTTAACTGCTCAATATTATTGTGATCTGAAGTACAACATAAAACAAACATATAACATTTAAACTAAGAAAGGGTAATGTTTGTCTAGCACTCCAAAATAAAGCTATGCTTTATGTGAAGTTGCGTTTTATCAGTCCTGCCGCCTGAACGGTATTCAGTTGAATTATGAAGCGACCTTCTGTCCTTAATCTGGTCTCATTCCCATAAGAGATCAATGCAACGCCATGCACCAACATGTTACGTGCACCAAAACGTTACATGTGTAATATCGTAAATTACGGCGGGAGACCACTTGATGGGTAGCACACTTTATTAACACTTTCTCTAGTCACAATAACACGTGTGGACAACCTCAGCTTACGCTACACGTTCTACCCGGCGACACACACACGGGCTCTCCAGCCCCGTAGCTTCCAGGAGAACTCACAGACCCACCCCAGCTGGGGTATGGGTCACGACCACTGGGTCCAGCAGCCTGGCCCTCACAAGGACGTCCGGCCGCGGGTCCCAAGGTCCCGCCTCTGAGCCACACAGGGACCCGGCCCTTACAAGGACAGCGGGGCTAGGGGTCTCAGGGCCCTATCTCTTCCTCCTCCGTCTTCTGTCTTCACTGGTTACCAACTCCCCGAGCGCCCGCGCGCATCGCCTTTCATAGTCCTCCGCTCCCGAGGGGGTGGAGCCTATACGGACCGCGATGTGAGCACCCACTCTAGTTGACCAATCACCACGCGCTGCCACACGATCCCTTTTTCCAGCGCGTGTCACCACTACGTAGCCAATCACCACGCGCTGCCACACGATCCCTTACTGCCAGCGCGTACCACCACTACACATGCACCAACATGTTACATGCGGTAAAGAGGGGGTACTTGGCTGTAAGATCGGCAGCTCACCAGCATTGATTCAAACAATCCTGAGTCTGCTTATGAGACGCAGTATGTCTAAACCGGTCCAGAGTTTGCTTGACTTGAAATCAGCGCTACTGAAATTATGAACTCCCAGAAGACCGAGCAGCTGATGGGTTGTGTAAGAAATACTTTGATATTTTTTTATGTGTAAAGACAGATATATGAAGAAGACATTGCTTGTTTATTTTGTTATTTATGTTCTCCACGGCAACGCGAATCATTATTTTGTGTCACAAGGTAGGTCACTACAGCATATGATAGATCACTACTGAGTAGAAGGCCAAGCTCACGATCAACTGAATGTCCAAACACAGTCTCAGACGTGGAAAAAGGTTACTAAACAGCGCTGCTTGATCAGGACAGTCACAGTTTTATAATTCCTGTTCCCTAAAGCATTTGCGAAAGATTATTATTTCGGCTGGCTTAATGCTTGACTCGTATGTGATTAGTATGTGCAATGGGTAGGGGCTACCCGAGTAGTGGGCGGGGTTGGCAGGAGTAGGCGGAGCCTAGGGGCAGGAGGCAGGTGCCAATGAGAGAGGGCCTGTTCACAATGGTGGCCGGGCTAGTTGCTGAGTGGGTGTGACTATTGAAAAGTGGGTGGGGCTGCTGGATGGAGAGACTGCCAAGCTCGGCACGTGTCCTGTGGTTGAGCCTTCAAGAAATTGTGTAGCTTTGCAGATGTGTAGGCTAAGTGTACGTGCGTCCAAGGGAGATGGAATTTAAACATAGGTTATGACAATGTTTGCTGCGTTAACTTTTAAATAAAGTATGTTCATTTCAACACTACAGTGTATACACTGATTCTAGATTTGAGGTTTTCGTGACTGCAAGGATTCATACTCTTTGGTTTTTTCGGTAAAGTCACGTAGGTAAAAAAAGGAAAATTAATTAAATCACGTAATATACACTACGTGGTTGTTGTTGTTGTTTTATCAACCATGGGCTGTAATTGGTTTCGAGCTTGGCAATATTTAGTATCTCACTCCACATGAGGCAAATTACTTTTGTTCACAGATGATAGGGATCGTATATTTATAAGTGTTTAGCGCGAGACAAAGCAGTTTAGAACTTTAGGTTGACCTTGCCGAATGGGTAAGTTTATGGTTTTCAGATGTTGTAAGTTATAATCGTATACTCCATTGTTTTTGTGTAAAATGTAAGCTTTCTGGCCTCTCGAGAACAACTTTTGGAATCTACATCAGTCACTCTGTTGCAGTCGACATGTACAGTACAGGGTGGTCCAGATGTCTTGTGACCCCCCATTTAATTTTCTAAAAAAACATTGTTCAAGTAAGCTTCATTTAAACATAAATTGAATATGCAAAGGGGGGGGGAATCTTAGGGGGCAATTAATTGGGGATCACCTGACATCTGGACCACCCTATTGAACACTCAGCGAGCTGAGTATTATTCCTGGACAGGGCCAACATCGGTGGCTAGTGACATCCGAACTGGACCTCTCCCGCCACCCAATATCCCCTGCACCAACCCATGCTCTGACAAGCATGAAGTAAAGTGACATAACCCCCGAGGCCTGATGTGGTTTGTGGGAGGCCTTCATCCAGCAGTGGGTTGACAGGGGGCTCGAGATACCGTACGAATAGCAACATAGCAGCAAATATGATGCCATTGCTGAGTCTCAAGACTTATTCATGAGGATCTTACTTTGGGATGTTAATGGGGAGCAGCAGTGTAGTGGGTTGTCGTGCTATGCTACGAACCCCGCGACCCGAGTTTGATTCCCCACTCATGGCCAAGACCAGTGAGATCGAAACCGGTCATGGGTTTCGCCTAGGTCGACTCAGCCAGGAAATGAGGACCTGGTGTGGTGTGTAAACGTCACCACTGGGGAGATAAAGGTGGCCGTGCGTGGTGTTGGCCATCCACTCCTCGTGTGCCGTGCCGGCCTTCATAGGTGCTCGCTAACAACACTTACCCCAACAGTCTGCTCAGGCTATACGGGGGATCTTTGTCTTTGTTTGGCCAAGGCCTGATGGAGTACTTCTGGGAGGAAACAATGGGGCCTACGTGGCCAAGGGAGAGGTCTCTGTGGTGACAAATTCAGCACATCCTGAGGGCAGCAACAAAAACAAATGCAAGCTGTCACTGAGAAGGCAATTCCAGCAGCCAGAAAAGAAATACGGCAGAAGTTGACGATAATGGCTATGCTGTGCTGATGAGGCCCAATTGGTATGAATGCGATTCATAGTTGCCTTGTTATCCTTCTGCTGCCTAAATAAATGAAAATGCACTGCGTAAGATTATTTGAGCTGGTGGCCATCACGAGGTTGTTGTGCATATTGGCATGCAGAGGGTGCTGGAATGCTGACATGTTTTGGTGTTTAATTCACTTATTTGTGTGTGTGTAAATCATTTAGCTTTGGGCTGCAAACATTTATTTCGTGTTGAATTGTCCCTTCAGATGGAATAGTGCTTGAACAGTATTTTTCGTCGTCAACGGTGATGTGAAATTCTAGATTTGAAGCTTTCGTGACTGCAAGGATTCATACTCTTAGGTTTTTTCGGTAAAGTCACGTAGGTAAAAAATAAATAGAAATAAAATAAAAATAATAATAAATGAAATAAATCAATTAAATCACTGTGATTTAATTTATTTATTTTCATTTATTATTATTTTATTTCTATTATTTTTTACCTACGTGACTTTACCGAAAAAACCTAAGAGGTGATGATAAAACTCAGAAAACCACAATCGGTTTGGTCCAGAAACCCCCGGCTGCTGGACCCGACTTGTTGTTTTATGTTTCCACGGCGAAACAGATCCTAGTCTTTTTTTTACGAAGGAATAATTAATTCCCACGTGCTTTCACTAAGTTCATCCCACATGTCTGTGCGCCGCTCACTGTGCTGTGTTACAATTGGACAGTTGTTCTGGCAAAGGCATCCCTTCTCGAAGTGGGTTTGGTAGATCAGACAAAGGTCATCGTGAGCAGACTGACAGCCGGCGGGGGCGTGAAATGGTTAGGAGACGGCGGTACACAAAATGAGTATCCGATCTGCGTGCGCCAATATTGAGTGGTATACTCTTTGGTTTTTTCGGTTAAGTCACGTAGGTAAAAAATATAAAATACAAAAAATGAAAACAGATCAAGTTAATTTTAATTTATTTTATATTTGTTACCTACGTGACTTAACCGAAAAAACCAAAGAGTATTGATCCTTGCAGTCACGAAAACTTCAAATATAGAATTGAGTGGTATCCCCATCGTTTATAGGGGGAGTTCTCTCGGCACTTTGGTGTCCTCCCACATGCAAAATACTCATTTAGGAATTGGTCACACATACCAGATGGGTGCGGTGGTGCAGTGGTTAGGGCAGTTTACTTTCAACTTACAGCCACGGGGTTTTCCTTCACCAAACCCGTGCTTACCAACGTGGTGAAGTATGGTTTAACAACCACCTCATGACCGACACAGCTTGACCGAGGCCTTTATCCACCCAGCGGTGGCTTTGCAAAGGGCTGTACAAACATTCAATGCAGGACTGACGTTAAAAACAAGTTTTGAGGCTTTGGGTAAATATATTCAGTTACGAACTCAAATACCTCGCATATGGAGCTCAATAAACGTCTTGATTAGTGATAATTTAGTATTCACGACTACAGCCCTTGTGTTGGCAGGAGGCATTTTTATTTATTTCAAATGCTGCCGTGCATGTCTCTAGGTGCTCGTGGCTCAAATGCAACGCCAAGGAGACAGCCACTGAACTCAAACTGCGCGTTGACAAAACGTGAGTTATTTGCTTATTTACATCTTGTTAGGTGCCCAAGTCTAACACCTATAATGTGTTCATACTGTAAGGAATAACAATGGGTCCAAGTTCAGCATTTCAAAAATATATTTGTACGTTTTGGCTGCCCTTCATACTCTACAGGACACGCATATTTATATGTTTATACACACACACTTTTATCCACTTATAGATACCCCACTGATATGACTTAATGACTGCAGATTACCACATGGTTTCATGCTGAAAGAACATCACACGGGCTATGTTACGTAACCATTATCAGGAGTAAGCTAATTGGTTTCGTGAAGCAGCATTGGCAGTGGTACATTAGCACAGATTTTTTTAAACACATTCACCAATAACGAATGTGTTGAGGGCACTATGGTGGCGAGATGTTAACTACCTCGCCTGAGTATACAGGAGGTCGTGGGTTCAATCCCGACCCTGACGCCTGTACATTTGGAGTTTGCATGTCTCTCTCTCTCTCATCATCATCACGGTGGCTAGGAGATGTTAACTACCTCGCCTGGTATACAGGAGGTCGTGGGTTCAATCCCGACCCTGACGCCTGTACATTTCGAGTTTGCATGTTCTCCCTTGTGGTCGCGTGGATTTCTCTCCAGGCCCTCCGGCGTTTTCCTTCACATTTCTAAACGTGCGTTTCGAGTATTTGGCTGCAATGCATTTCCACATGATAAGCCGCTTTGTTGAGCTATCATTTGTGGCCAGGTCGCTTCTGAAAAAGAGCTATATAGCTCAGTGGGCCTTACCTGGTAAAATAAACAAAATTGTATAGTTTAAGAACACTGTGGCCTTGAAAAGGGAAACAAACATTGGGTGACGTTTTGGGGTAATGGCCCTTCCTCTGAGCACACTGCGAGTGAGACCCGAGAGACAGAGACTCAGGAGAGTGTTGAAAGATTTAAGACTGTACTCCTGTAGAGACTTTGAGTTTAAAAATTTCAATGCGAGGTCTCCCTATTATTTGAGTGGGGTGTCTATAAGTGGATCACCCTGTACCAGATAATTTTGTCCTAGGGAATTGTACTTCACAAAATGCACGAATGCACGTTGTTGTTGTTGTGTTAACTAACTCGCCTCTTATTTGCTGCCCACTTGTGTTTTGATGTTGCAGTTGTTGCTGTGGCGACATCACCAGGTGGGTGGCGTCCATTTTTAAATTGTTGAGCGGGGAGAAGGGAAATGGCCACTGGGGGCCCCAGTCTCAAAAAAGCATCGAATTGTTGAAGATAACCTTTCCCAGTAGACGCTGGTGCGAACGTTGGGCCAAAGGTTTACTGGGTTTCTCACTTTTTATGAAAACTCAACATATAGAATTTTAGAAGATGTTTTTAAACGAGTTGTTAAATCCTCTCACCTGGTATGCTGGAGGTTGTGGTTTTGTTCCCGACCCAGACGCCTGTATATGTGGAGTTTGCGTATTCCCTCTCCCCGTGGTCGCGTGGATTTTTCTCCGGGTACTCTGGTTTTTAACTCCACATTTAAAAACACGCGTTTAAAGTAGTTGGCTGCTATAAATTTCCACGTGAAGAGCCACTTCGTTGAGATATTATTTGTGGCCAGACCGCTTCTTGAAAATAGCTATATAGCTCAGTGGGCCTTACCTGGTAACATTTTACGTGGTCAAATTTAAATTGAAAAATCGGCAATCAGAAAATGATGCTTGTGAAAATTTTATTCGTGGTGTAGATGATTTAGACAGCCTAGTTACCATTGTAACTATTGTAAATGCTTACATGCTCAATTAAACATTGATATGCTCAATGAATGTGCCAAATAAATTATCTCCTAGTCCTAATTCAGGGGCTGGAAATCCACATGAGTTCATAGCATAGGCAATGGAGCTTTCATTTGAGGTGTAAACATATGCCAAACAATTACATTTTTCCAAATTATCGTAAAGTTTGCAACAACCCATAAAAAAACATGCAAACGTTGACCAATGTTCAATGTTTACCAGGAATGTACAAATACAATCTCTGAATTTTGTTTCTGAAATTGTCTCAAACTTACCAATTGTGCACCATGCGATGTAATATAAATTCACATAAAGGAAGCCCTTGAAAGCTATTATTTGAGGTTGCATTGCATCTCAACTTTGGGGGAGCATGTAGTCCACTGCTCCCTATTTTGTCATGGCCATGTGCATCACCGCTGATGTTTGTTATAATGCAACATATGATTTTGTATTCTGACATGGCGGTGGTCCTTGCTTTTGCTTTGTTTGTGTTGTATGTATGCATGTATGTTGAACTTCTTTCGCGTCGTACGCAGCAGAAACCGTGCTAATCGGAGGTGCGCAGTGTTGCCACCGCTGCTGTTGTTTCCATTGGCTGGTGTTGGTGCATGTGCTGCTGTTGACATTGCTGCAGTCGTTGCCCTTGCTGTTATTGCTGCTGACGTCGCCGCCGTGCCGTCCTTGTCAACGATTCGCCGACACAATGTACGTGTACCGACTGCTTTCAAATCCGATCCCTCCCCTTCCCCTCCGTCCCTCCCTCCCTCCCTGCTCAACCAACTCTCCAGACTTAGGCTCCGACCCGCCCCCCCGCCCCCTTTCCTGCTATGACGGTCGCTGGCGGCAACGACGGGACGGCCGTGCACGGCAGCACGACGGCGATCTACAGCCAGACGCACGGCAACTACGCGCAGCGCGCTCAGCTCGGAGATGGCAACGAGCGCGTGGTCATCAACGTGGCCGGCATGAAGTTCGAGACGTGCGCGCGGACACTCGCCCAGTTCCCCGACACCCTGCTGGGCGACCCCGCGCGACGCGCCCAGCACTTCGACCCCCTGCGCAACGAGTACTTCTTCGACCGCAACCGGCCCAGCTTCGACGCCATCCTCTACTACTACCAGTCGGGCGGGCGGCTGCGCAGGCCCGCCAACATCCCCTTCGACCTGTTTTCCGAGGAGATCCGCTTCTTCGAGCTGGGCGAGGAGACGATCCAGCGCTTCCGCGAGGATGAGGGCTACATCCGCGAGGAGGAGAGGCCGCTGCCCGAGTCGGAGCTCAAACGCCAGGTCTGGCTGCTCTTCGAGTACCCTGAGAGCTCGAGTGCGGCCCGCGTAGTTGCGATCGTCTCTGTTGTCGTGATCTTGGTCTCGATTATCATCTTCTGTCTGGAAACGCTGCCACAGTTCCGGCAGGACGGTGACGATGAGTTAGAGACCAATAGCACTATGGAAAGTGTACCAAAGGCCAGCTTCGCAGCTGACCCATTTTTCCTCGTAGAGACGGTATGCATCGTGTGGTTTTCCTTTGAGCTCTTAGCACGGTTTTTGGCCAGCCCAAGCAAACCCGCATTCTTCCGTAACATCATGAACAGCATCGACGTGGTGGCCATCATGCCGTACTTCATCACGCTCGGAATGGAGCTGGCCGAGCAGCAGGGCAACGGTCAGCAGACCATGTCGCTCGCCATCCTGCGCGTCATCCGCCTGGTGCGCGTCTTCCGGATCTTCAAGCTGTCACGCCATTCCAAAGGCCTCCAGATCCTGGGCCAGACCCTCAAGGCGAGCATGCGCGAGCTGGGGCTGCTCATCTTCTTCCTCTTCATCGGCGTCATCCTCTTCTCGAGCGCCGCCTACTTCGCCGAGGTGGACGAGCCCACGACGTACTTCACGAGCATCCCGCACGCGTTCTGGTGGGCCGTGGTCACCATGACGACGGTTGGCTACGGCGACACGGTGCCCGTGACGGTGGGCGGCAAGGTGGTGGGGTCGCTGTGCGCCATCGCGGGCGTGCTCACCATCGCGCTGCCCGTGCCCGTCATCGTGTCCAACTTCAACTACTTCTACCACCGCGAGACCGACGTCGACGACTCGCACTCCAACGTGGCGCAGTCGCCGAAAAACTCCGCAGTTAATTACCCCTCTAATGAGTCGCTGAAGAAGAGCGCGCCAAGCACACCGGTTCACACGCCGGGCTCCGTGAGCTGCCACTCCGTGAGCAAAGGCGACAACACGCACACACACACGTACGTGGCCAACAGCTATGAACATAAGTGCCAGCCCACCGACGTGTGAACGACCATGTTGTTAGCGCGAATTTAAGGTTGCTAGTTTTGAGTTAATTTAATGCTGCAACTTGTCAGTCGTGTATCATTATGTTCAACAGGACTCTTAACGTCCCCGTTGGTCCCTTATTCATTTCGATGCCACATTTACGCTGTCTGCAACAAGATGGCCGCCTTTCCACAATCGCTTTAACCGTGACGTTGAAAACAGGCCGCGGCCGTTATTGTGCACAAGCTTGTGGAAGATACTTCATCTGCGATCACATGATTTCAACGGAGGGAGCTGTGTATACGGACAGACGTTCCTTGGGAACGTTTGTAAACACTCCATTGTGTGCAAGTGCGCCAGCCCGCAGTCATCAGTGCTTTTTTACTTGAGAATATGAAAGATAAGTCAAGGCCTCATTTGCGCTTTTAATAACTCGAATACAAAAACTATTCCATGATCTTTAAAAACTTGAAAGTTTTCATTCTCATCCCATTACCAGCAAACTTCATGGTTTTCGCATGCTAGATCCTGCTTCTTTGGTAGAATCTCAACAGTGCTTAATTTTTTTTGCTCGCAAATTAATTTACACTTGCCGATGTATGAGTATCACCGGTTACAATTTCTTGCAGTTTACAGAGGAGCTTTTACCACCCCGGTCCTTCAATCATTTCCGTGCAGTACATGTGACCATAAACAACTTAATTTGCGAATTAAGTCGTTAACCACGAAAGAGACTGATCGTGGGACTGCAGCTTTCAAAGCCCTGGTGAAGTGCCGTCACGTAACATCACACACGCACTCAGAATATCTACAAATCGCGATTGTCATGTTTCGGTTGGTTGTTCTGCTCATGGCTCGTGGGTGTCTGTTGATATGTTTTCACCTCGTTCAGATTAACTCCATGCATCGACTGCAGCGGGGCAGTGTGTGGGTAACCTCTCTTCTTTCACAGCATGGGAGGCCAGTGGTTAAATGGCGCTCTCTCAACAGAGGGCGACCGCTGCCTGCGGTAGTGTGAATGTAGCCCTTTACGTTTGACACGGATTGCGTGCTTCAACGTTTAGTCGTCAGGACCGAAGCACGCACGTGGTGCTCCTGACAAAAAGGGTAGTGGGGCTTGTCATGAGTTTATGGCTCTGCCACCTCTGGCCCGACAGATGGCACACTGACAACGACGTGACGATGATGATGACCGTGTAGACACAAGATAACACGTATTTTCCCTCCCTGCTCTTCCACCTCGCCTGGATTACTGACCCCTCCCCCCCACCCTCATCCCCCTCCCCCACCACCTTTAAAAAAGGTCAACCATAAAGGTCATACAAGGGAGCATGCACATTGGTTCCAAAATTACAATATACATACAGCTCGCACATGACAACGCTGTCTTATACACACACACACTGCATGGATAGCCCTCTGTGAACCCGCTCCTTGATCATGACCCCTCCTCACTGTGCAGGTCAACACGGTGGTCACTGCGGGTTGGTCACGGTGGTGAGCACGGTGTGTGGGAGCATAGAAGTCTAAACACAACAATAGATTTTTTCCCCCTGTACAACCCTCTGCAGCACTGTGCACTGTATCAATGTAATTCACTACTGGTCACACAAGTGAGCCGCAATCCCGCACAACACAAATTATGGGGCCAAGAAACGTGTAAAAAAAAGTACAGCCCCTATGCCCTTGAATGTCTCGCAGCTTGAGTGCCATTGGTTTGTGATTCGACAGCTTGCTGATGGTTCTCGGTTAAACGAGCAGCCCGACGTGGCTGCCAATTTGAAACCCACGTATTACGTGGAAGGTCACATTTCTTAATTGCCATGCATTGTTTCGATACTGACATTAATACTCACATTCGTATAAATTCACTGACTCGTCAAAAAACATTTCTCATTAGTTTATACACTACATTTACATTACGGTAACCATGCGCAGTACATTTTTCAAGGTCTTATTGAACTTGTCAGAGCAAAGTTCCGTTCGTGAGCACCTATTTAAAAAAATACAGGCACAGTGCACAAAGGATAGCTGTGGCCACAATCATGCACATCTATCCACTGTTTCTGCCCAGGTCCTCATTTATAGCCGAGTTGATCTAGGTGATGCCCAGGCAATGCCCAGTAACCGATTGCCGCTGGTGTTGTGCATTATTGCCAATAGCCAGGCCTGGGTAGCTGGAGTCGTGTGCAGTGCTTGAACCACGAGACGTCCACTCTCTGTATGTATATAGGACACGCACAAGGACATTTGTACTCGTATACACAGGGTACACAGAAACATTCACGTTTTCTACAGTATGTAGAATATTTATTGTGAACCGGTTCATAGTAGCAATCACACTGTAATCAGTTGATTGGCCAATTGGGTAGACTCGATTATCAGAAATAGCCTTCCTCTTTGCTGACTGCACAGGTCCCAACATTAAATTATCCGTTATTTGCTCTGCGCCGATCATTAACTCTGGGAATCCCTTTCAAGGCATTACATATCTAACGTCATACGACTAACCACGCTTATAACAATGTACCTTGCAGACGTGTTACTTGAGCAAGTAAAGAAACAAATACGCACATTGGTAAAGTTTTGCGTGAAAATTTTTTTTTATTTTTTTTTTACAAAAAAGCACAAGTCCACCTTTGAAGTCGGGTGCGAAGGCCGCTAAAAAGTAACATTCCTGCTTTCGCGTACGAATGTAAATAATGGTGAAACTCGGTGTTCCACGCAGTTCCTTGGGCCACAGCCGTGACCAGACACTTGGTTGAGAATTGAAACAATTTAGAATCCCAAAAATGTTTAGCACAATCGGCGAGCAACAATTGCTCACGAAATTACACCGGGATAATATTATCTTACGTAAGTTTCCCTTGCCTTTAGTGTGTGCATGTGCACGTCCCAGCCTCATGTAAAGCGGAAGGGTAGTGAATGCCCTCAGACTTGATCATTTAAAACAATTGCCCAGTAGATGCCCATTGCATGGTTCCCAGATCCCGTTGGGTGGCGCAGTGGTAGAGTGTGTGGCTTGCCATCTAGAACGTTGTGGGTTCAAATCCCGATCAGGGATTGATAGGGTAATCATCCCTCTGGGGTGTTTATAAAATGAATACCAATTTGTGGGCAATCAACGGTGGTTGACCTGTGGATACATTTGGCCCCCCATCGCAGGATTGTGGAATTTCCACCGCCACTGGCTCAGGGCTACGAATGGAGCACGAACACTTGCTAAATTGAGCAGGAAACCACCACATGGCCCAAACATCTCAACTGAAATGTGAACCAGAGGACCCATCCGTGTATGTAGTAATTTTGCCTTTGCCCTTGATTTAGAGTTCTTTGCCGTGAGTGTGGGCAACGTTGATGAATTCTACAGCACTTAACCATGGTCAACGTTTGGCCAAGCGCCACAGAGGTACTGATTTCCACCAGCAAGAGAGGTACGCCATTAATGAAAAATGAGAATGTGTTTTACCCTTTCTGGCAATCAAAACAGGTGTTAAGATGTTCAAACACCAAATATAAACTTCATTTGAAGCTTTCGTGACTGCAGGAATCCATACTCGACCTACGTGACTTTACCGAAAGAACCAAAGAGTACCAAATAGATACATTTTGCAAGGAATCACGTCGGAATTAACCACACGTACTTGTGGTGAACATGCAAACAAAAATGTTCTGATAATATATGCGTTGTCCTTGGTGAGGTTAGGCCCTAGAGAAGGCTATCTCTGGTGTCGGCCAACCAGATTTAAGGACAAGGCATGTGTTTTCAGAGCATGTTTGTTGGCATGTTCACCACAAGTACGTGTGGTTAATGCAGATTTACCCAACAAAAACAACCTATTATGGATGATATTGGTCGCGAAAGCCTAAGTGTTAAACTGTCTGTTTGGTTTTCGAAAATCTTTACACCTGTTTTATTGCCAGAAAGGGTAAAAATTTGATACTGGCAAAACAGGCCCCATGATACGCCATTTACGATCACCAACACGTGACGAGTATGCAAATCTTCTTGGTTCTTTCGGTAAAGTCACGTAGAAGGGAAATAATAAAATAATAAACATTAAACATAATAAAATAATTATCACGACATTTCGGCCACAACGCAAGCAGCCGTCCTCAGGTGAAGAACAGTTCTGTCGGAAAGACACTCTGATAATGTGCACTGTAAAAAGGTGTCAGTTTTGTTGCCAGATAGAAGGGTAAAGAACCAATTATCATATTTTTACTGGCAAATGAGGTTCCCATAGTGTAGAAGCAACGAACGATCACACAAACGGAATTAGCTAAACATTCCACGAAGGACTCGCCTGAGAAGTGGTGTTGGGATTCGATTATGCTTCCCGAGCAAATACAAATGCATTAATATTGTTCACACCAACCCAAATGTAATGTTGAGTTTAAGCGATTTTTACCACTTGCTGGAATAATACACATCTGTGATAAACATTGAGAAAATCTCTGTTGGGGCCAAACGTCTCCAGGGCAATACTTTACTTGGCATATTGAAAATTTCGACAAAGACGACGATGATGATGATGACGACGATGACGATGATTATGACGACGATGATGATATTAAGTTTCTAAACTGTTTACGCGTAATGAGAGCATGCCGCCTCTGCGGTACACCCAGTACCTATATTCTGTTGCTGACGCCAAAGTGTAACGTTAATCTCAGAATGTATCGTCTCGTCCAATTTAATCGCTTTCAAAGCACGTAATCGATATTAAGGCAGCAAAACAGAGCTTGCTTAGAAATGCTTGAGAACCGTCGATTGATGTTGCTGGATTGCGCTAACCCAGATGACCTGCCAAGTGCGGTGGAAGCACTGATGTACACCTGTAACCAATCGGTTTGGAGGTGGCATTGGTGGGTCACTAAGATTTGAAGCTTTCGTGACTGCAAGGATTCATACTCTTAGTTCTTTCGGTAAAGTCACGTAGGTAAAAAATGAAATTAAAATTAATAAAATAAAACAATAAAAATCACGACGTTTCGGAGGCAACACAAGTCTCTGTCATCAGGTGGGACCGTCACAGCCAGATTTGCTGCATCAATCTGGCTGTGACGGTCCCACCTGATGACGGAGACTTGTGTTGCCTCCGAAACGTCGTGATTTTTATAGTTTTATTTTTATTAATTTTAATTTCATTTTTTACCTACATGGTGACTTTACCGAAAGAACTAAGAGTATGGGTCACTAAGAGTCGAGAGCCACGATGGTGATAATGATGATATTGATGTGTACAGTTTGTGAGTTGCTGCTTATAAGAGGGCAGGAAGCAGCTGGGTGGTCGTGGTGGCTATGCAGGTGACGTGTGAACCTGTACTGTGCAGGCCGTGAGGGTTGGTGGGTCACTGCCCCGTTGTTGTGAAATTCCCTTCACGTGGGCCTCAATGGTGCCATACCCTGGGTCGCCAGGAGAAGGCAGCAAAACAAGTGGAATAATCTCGATTTAAAGCTTTCGTGACTGCAGGGATTCATCTTCTTGGTTCTTTCGGTAAAGTCACGTAGAAGGAAAATAATAAAATAATAAAAATAAAACATAATAAAATAATTCTCGCGACGTTTCGGCCACAACGCAAGCAGCCGTCCTCAGGTCGAAGAACAGGTCTGTCGGAAAGACAGCGTCTGAATGAACACCACCAAGCTTGGCAGCGTGTATTTAAGCTGCGTTGTGGCCGAAACGTCGTGAGAATTATTTAATAATGTTTTATTTTTATTATTTTATTATTTCCCTTCTACGTGACTTTACCGAAAGAACCAAGAAGAAGTGGAATGATCGTCATCTATTTCCGTCTGTATGGGGATAGAGTGTTGCCCCCTCGCACACGTGGGCATTCTCCGGGTGCTCCGGTTTCCCACCACTTGTATAATAACGACATCATTAATTAGCTGCAAACATTTTTAAATTTTAATATATTTTATAAGCAAGACCCTTACGAAAAAGTATGGATCTTCTTGTTTCTTTCGGTAAAGTCACGTAGAAGGGAAGTAATAAAATAATAAAAATAAGACATAATAAAACAATTCTCACGACGTTTCGGCCACAACGCAAGCAGCCGTCTTCAGGTGAAGAATGAGACACTACCAAACTAGGAGCTTATATATAAGCTGCATTGGGGGTTGAAGAGCGCCTTAACAAAAAGAATGTGCATGTGAAGAGGAATTTAGCATATTCATGGAAAATGCGTAGGCGTTGGGCGGGGGGGTGTCAAAGTCATATTATGCCCATGCATTATGCAGGATCAGCAGCAACCAAGGGGGGTGCAGGGATTAGCAGTAACAAAGGAAAGGAATGTTAATGATATGTAGCTGCAGTTACTCAACAACCACGTAGAAAACTAAAGTATAAACTACATAAAAAACTAAAGTATAAACTGCATCGCACCATCAGTATACTTACTATACTCTATAATAAGCTGAGTTACTAACAGCAAGTAATACATTACAATTCTACCTCGTAAAAATTCTGTAATATGCTTCCATCTAAACCTTATTCTCTTACATCACACGAGCATATACCGTACTATATACTGCCATAGATAAACCCAACATTAAATTATATACTGTATTGCTGTAAACCAACCTATATCTTATACATTTAATATAACACTATGTATTATTCTACACACCCTAATGTGTATCGAAATGGTTTATTACGTCCTTCCAATGATTGCTGAGCCAGAATCCATCTTCTCGGTTAAAATTGTCTCTGTGTTTGTATATGTGGATCGCCTCATGAACGAATCTCTCATGATAGCCAGATGGCTTGCAGAGAACCTCTGTCTTGGAGAAGTCAATATCATGTGAGCCCACTGAGTTGTAACAGTGATCTGCCACGGCTGAGGTGTTTGTCCTACCGTGTTTCAGGTCAGCTTTATGTTCACGGATGCGGTCCGAGACATGTCGTTTGGTTTCCCCAATGTAACTGCTACCACAGAGGCAACTTAGTTTGTAGACGCCAGGGTACTGTATGTCTGGAACCACATCTTTTACAGACGGTACCAGATCACGGATTTTATGTACTGTGTTGAATCGGACCTGGATCTTGTGTTTAATCAGGATTTTGGAGATCTTTTTTTTTTTTTTTTTTTTTTTTCACCTTACCCTACATTGCTGGGGTCACAAAAAAGATCTCCAAAATCCTGATTAAACACAAGATCCAGGTCCGATTCAACACAGTACATAAAATCCGTGATCTGGTCCCGTCTGTAAAAGATGTGGTTCCAGACATACAGTACCCTGGCGTCTACAAACTAAGTTGCCTCTGTGGTAGCAGTTACATTGGGGAAACCAAACGACATGTCTCGGACCGCATCCGTGAACATAAAGCTGACCTGAAACACGGTAGGACAAACACCTCAGCCGTGGCAGATCACTGTTACAACTCAGTGGGCTCACATGATATTGACTTCTCCAAGACAGAGGTTCTCTGCAAGCCATCTGGCTATCATGAGAGATTCGTTCATGAGGCGATCCACATATACAAACACAGAGACAATTTTAACCGAGAAGATGGATTCTGGCTCAGCAATCATTGGAAGGACGTAATAAACCATTTCGATACACATTAGGGTGTGTAGAATAATACATAGTGTTATATTAAATGTATAAGATATAGGTTGGTTTACAGCAATACAGTATATAATTTAATGTTGGGTTTATCTATGGCAGTATATAGTACGGTATATGCTCGTGTGATGTAAGAGAATAAGGTTTAGATGGAAGCATATTACAGAATTTTTACGAGGTAGAATTGTAATGTATTACTTGCTGTTAGTAACTCAGCTTATTATAGAGTATAGTAAGTATACTGATGGTGCGATGCAGTTTATACTTTAGTTTTTTATGTAGTTTATACTTTAGTTTTCTACGTGGTTGTTGAGTAACTGCAGCTACATATCATTAACATTCCTTTCCTTTGTTACTGCTAATCCCTGCACCCCCCTTGGTTGCTGCTGATCCTGCATAATGCATGGGCATAATATGACTTTGACACCCCCCCGCCCAACGCCTACGCATTTTCCATGAATATGCTAAATTCCTCTTCACATGCACATTCTTTTTGTTAAGGCGCTCTTCAACCCCCAATGCAGCTTATATATAAGCTTCTAGTTTGGTAGTGTCTCATTCTTCACCTGAAGACGGCTGCTTGCGTTGTGGCCGAAACGTCGTGAGAATTGTTTTATTATGTCTTATTTTTATTATTTTATTACTTCCCTTCTACGTGACTTTACCGAAAGAAACAAGAAGATGAATCCCTGCAGTCACGAAAGCTTTAAATCGAAAAAGTATGGCTTTCCTGGATAAATAATTAGATACTAATTTACGGTGAATTGACTTGTGAAAGGCTTCCGTGTGCGATGTTTGCGTGGGGTTTTCTCTGGGCACTCCAGACACGCACAGCAAAAACCCACTAGAATCAGGAATTCACAGAATAAGCAGGCAGGGATGGCCATTATCCGAATTGCATGTCATTTAATACGCAATTTCACTACATTTGTAATTGCTATCTAAATTGCCCACCTCAAAGTAATTGGTGATTTGTATCTAAATTACATGCCGCAATGCAAATTGCTAATTCTACATTACAATACACTGCGAGGTCAAATTTTGTTTATTTGAATTTTATATGCCCACCACTGCACGAAAGACAATTCTGACTAAGTGAGTCTACCTAGGCCGTTTAAATTAAATAAATAACCCTTAATCTGCCTTGCGAATTTAGATTTCCAGTCCTGTACATACAAATGAGATGGAGAGAGAGAGAGAGAACGAAACAATAAATGGCATGAAATAGTTTGGCAAAATCAACTGGGTTGGCACAATCACACGAGGAAGCAACTTTTTTTGTGTTATGTTCAGTCTGTTGTCCTTCTCCCTCCATCTCCATTAGCACGGTTGGCAACGCACGGTGCGAAAGAAGTTCAACATGCGAACTTACATTTATTTGCAATGGTTTACGTGGAATTCATTGATGATGGCTTTGCAGAAAGGGCCATTATCAAATAATGAAAGCCGGTTCGTACTTAATTTGGAGCTTTCGTGACTACAGGAATTACTCTTTGGTTATTTCGGTAAAGTCACGTATAACGAGAAAATAATAAATTAAATACGAGCATACGACATTTCGATTGCAACACAAGCAATCATCATCAGGTATAAGGAAGAACGTAGTCAACAAGGTAGGGTGTTGACTGTTATGTTATCCGACTCTCTGTTGTATTACATTACATTTCTAAGTATACTAGATTTGCGTTTCCATTTCATTTATACCTGATGATGATTGCTTGTGTTGCAATCGAAACGTCGTATGCTAGTATTTAATTTATTATTTTCTCTTTATACGTGACTTTACCGAAAGAACCAAAGAGTAATGAAAGCCGGCTCAAAGTTCTTCTCTGGCAAAAGGCCGTGTTTAATTCGTGTTGGTCGGGGTGGTGGGGTTAGGGTTAGATTCATGGGGGGGGGTGGGGGGGGGGCTTTTAGGGATCGCTGGCTCGGACGAGCAAGATCCCCCACGCCCGAGGCAGGGTACGCAGAGCGGATCGCCCGCATTGACGCTCACGCCACTGATTTGTAAACAAACGGGGAAAAAAATGCTGCTACTTTTTAAAACACGAAATGCACTGTAGTAAAGGGGAAAACATATTGTTATACTCTATGCATAACCTATATGACGATATCACGTATACGAATTACAAACAACCATATTTAAGCTCGTGCGTGTACACCTGTTAAGTGTATTGCGTGACGTGAACATTGCATGTGACCGGGGGAGGCGACACAAATGAAGAGAAAAACAACACGAGCTCCGTTCTAACGACACCGCTGGAGTGAGAGGTGAATTGACTGCGGGGGGGGGGGGGGGTCGTGAAGTGATTGGGGCAG